CCGGGTTAAAAAGAAGACAGACATGCATCTTCGGTGTTTTATTACATGTCTGTTCCACGGGTTTAGGGCTTACGCTTCGGGCCCAGGCTTCTGCTTTATAGGATTTAGGCTTCGGGTTTCGGGTTTAGGGTTTAGGGTTTGGGGTTTAGGGTTTGGGGTTTAGGGTTTAGGGTTTCGGGTTTAATGTGTTCAATTAACGGGTCCGGGTGTTTGACATCCCAGACTTGTGGCTTTGCTTGCCGAAGCCCTCTCAAGGATCGCATCTTCCGTCCCCGCTGTGGGTTCTTGACCTTGGGTGTGGCTGCAGCTTAGGCCGTAGATCTCGGACTGAGATATGGTACAAGCCCTCTAGATTAGGGTTTAGGGTTTAGGGTTAAGGGCTTAAGCCGCAAGCCAAAGCTAGCCTCTGTCCATTGCGCACACCAACCCCCGAACTTGCACCCCGCTTAACGAATCATGGGCCTCCAACGAGTAGTAGGTAACAATCGGGACTGAAACCTTAAAACCTGGACTCTAAACCCTAAACCTTGAGCCCTGGACCCCAAACCCTAAACCACAGAAGTTAAACCCTAAACCCTAAACCCTAAACCCTAAACTCTAAACCCTAAACCCTAAACCCTAAACTCTAAGCCTCCAAAAGCTCCATGGATGAGCCGTCGCCGCCCGGCCTGGAGAGCGCTGTTTCGGAGCTTGAGCAGCTTCGAAGCTGCCTGCGCAGGCACGGAAGAGGGTTTAGGGTGTAGGGTTTAGGGTTTAGGGTTTAGGGTTTAGGGTTTAGGGTTTAGGGTATGGATTTCCGAGTTTATGGGGTATGAGGGTTTTCGGTTTAGGGGATTAGGGTTTAGGGTTTGGGGTTTAGGGTTTATGGGGTATGAGGGTTTCAGGTATGAGGGTTTAGGGTTTAGGGAAGAGACGGGTTTCAACGCTTCGGTTATGAGGGTTTAAGGTATGAGGGTTTAGGGTTGAGGGCTTGAGCTTGTGGCTTTAGGGCTTTAGGGCTTGAAGGTTTAGGGCTTTAGGGCTTTAGGGCTTTAGGGCTTTAAGCTTTAGGGTTTAGGTTTTAGGGCGTGTAGCTTTAGTAGGGTAGGGTGTTCAGCTTTCGGGTTAGGGTTCCATCCTTTGGGTATGTCGGGTTTATGGGCTCAGGTAGTCTGCCAATGTTCACCGCCGTACCTAGGGCTGCGCAGGCGCTGTTCTGAACCTCAAAGATATCTGTTGGAGGCCGGTGTGATTGCTGCTTCGACTCCGCCGGCCCGGCCCTAAACCCTAAACCCTAGACCCTAAACCCTAAACCCTAAACCCTAAACCCTATAAACCTGAAACCCTAAACCCTAAACCCTAAACCCTAAACCCTAAACCCTAAACCCCAAACCAAAGCCCCAAACCAGAGGCCGGCTGCACTCCGGCAGACACCGGAGGTTGAGAGTCTCGGCTGGGAGTCGACAAGGACAAGATGCTCCTGCAAAAGGACATCTGCGACACTGCGACCTTCCAGCGAGGAGGGTTTCGGGTTTCGGGTTTAAGGTTTATAGGGTTTAGGGTTTAGGGTTTAAGGCTTGTAGGGTTTAGGGCTTATAGGGTTTATAGGGTTTAGGGTTCAGGATTTAGGGTTTAAGGTTTATAGGGTTTAGGGTTTAGGGGATATCGATGTCCAGTTCATGGATGATTCGCCAGTTCCTCATGTTGCTCACCGGGCGCAAGATGAGCTCAGTAGCTGAGTGAGTACACTTTACACTTCTTGGGATTCCTCAGAGAACTGAAAGTGTGCATTTTTTGGGGCTTATGAACTCAGCAACTAAGTGAGGGGTATGTGAGAAGCAGCCTGCTATATACTTGGAAGTCCATACCCTGATCCGTCGCTTGCGGCAACCCCAAAATCTTAGCCTAAGCCCTCTTAGATGGCCCACGGCGTCGAGACGTGAAAAGACTTGTACATAGCCTTGCAAGAATGCTTCGGAGATTTCAACCTAAGAATATACATAAAGATATCCCACATCCCCACAACACGAAAACCGAAACCCTAATCCCTGAAAGCCCCTAACAAGACCCTAAACCCCTAAAGCCCTAAACCCCGAGACCCCCAAGCCCCTAAAGCCCTGTTTAAAAAGCCCCAAGCTCGAGGCAGTCTGACTACCTCGCCTGGGCTTTGACCGAAGTGCGCCGATTGAAGGCTCGACCGGGAAGCACGACAACCGTACACCCTAAACCTTCAGCCTTAAACACTAAACCCTACCACCCTAAGCGCAAAGCCCCTAAATCCTAAGCTCCTACACCCTAAAAAACCCCGAACCCTAAATCCCTAAACCCTGAAAGCCTCTATAAAGCCTATACCCTCAAGCCCTAAACCCCAAACCCCTAAGCCCATTGTTGAGAATTGCGTTGAGCTATACGGAGAGGCTCGCAGAAGCTGTCGGGATCCCGATGCTACGGTTGGTGATTTTTGGGTTTGGGTTTTAGGGTTTGGGGGTTTAGGGTTTAGGGGTTTAGGGTTTAGGGGTTGAGGGTTTAGGGGTTCAGGGTTTAGGGGTTTAGGTTGATGATATCAGTCCTGCATGAAAACTACCCAAAAGAAGGAATTTCCCATAATTCCCATAGTTTAGGGTCCTTAAGGTTATTGCAGGATTTGTATCATCAACAGTATGGCTTCGGGTTTCACGGTTCAGGGTTTCGGGGTTTAGGGTTTCGGGTTTGGGCCCTGTAAAACTTCTGGGACATTTTCAGGTGGGTAGTTGCCGTTATAGGAGCCTTATAGAAGGTCTATATATACACCTTATAGAGGCCTTAGAAAAGCCCTATATACCCTAAACTCCCCACCTGTAGTTTCCTTTCAAAACGGTTAAGCCCACATCTTCTCCGGCCTTATGATTATGATTCCTTATTTGCCTTCTATAGGAGGTTATCTGGGGTTCGGGTAGAGACTTCGGATGAGGGTTTCGAGTGTAGCGTTTCGGGGTATTTTCGGTTTAGGGCGCGCATCTTTAGGTAGCTTTTGAGTATAAGCAATAGACCCTGAGAGTAAAAGGGGCTTCATCTTATGATTTGAGGTATATTCCTTAATTAACGGATATTGGGCTCTCCGGGGTTCTCGCTGTGGCAAAAGATTTGCGGCTTTGTTTTTTCCGGTTTTGGGCTTTCTCTTAAGGGCTTAAGATCGAGGGCCCTGTACAAGGGGTTAAGGGGTTTGGGAATTTGGGTGGTATAGTAGTGTTCAGGGTTTAGGATTTAGGGTAGGGTTCAGGTGTTGCTGTAGCGCCGTAGGTTTGGGGCTTTACTTGGAGGCCCAGAAAACTTAGTAAGTCGGTTATAAGTAGGGTTATAATAGGGGTCACTCCATTCAGGGTACTTATCACTCTACATATAACCTACTTACTAAGTCCCTTGGGCCTCCAAGTAGGGGTTCAAGTGCTCAGGGTGAAGTACATAGCCCCAATCCTTCAGGTGGCATGCGGATCCGGGCCCGGCACCTACGGGGTTCAGTCTTCAAGTACGGGTTTGGGGTGTCTAAACCCTAAACCCTAAACCTTAAGCCTCATATCCTTGAACTATTAAAACCAGATCCAGAGGGCGCTCTGAAGCTTAGACGTCGAGCGGATCATCTCCAAGCGTGCTTTGATTCTACATCGACACCAGTGGCCCCGCCTCTGCTGCAAGACAGCGGTGGTCTCGAACACGTCGCCCGCCGGCATTACAGAGACTGCCTAGCATGTCAGCCTCAACGGCCAACAGTTGTCTGAAACACACAAAACATTGCTTTGCTCAGCCAGCAGGGGGCTGAGGCAGCACCTCTGCATGTGGACCCAAAGCCTGCAAGCATCTCAGGCACAGGCAGCAGGACGTTCCAAGTTGTAGCTCTGACAAGAGAGGCTTTGCTGTCGGACTGATTCACAACACCTTACGGCAAAGTTGTGCTTGCTTCGAATGGATCTCTTCTGACGGGGCCCAATGCACCCGCCGCAGGTTGTGCCCCAAAGAATTGGCAAGGATACCCTTTGGTTCCTTGAGATGTGAGCATGTCCAGAAAGGGCCACGCATGCACCGCGTGCACTTCCGCGAATCCGGGCCTGGCACTAGCGCGGTTTAGGGTTTCGGAGTTTAGAAGCTTTGGGTTTAGGAGTTTAGGGTTTGGGTGTAGGGGTTTAGGCTTTAGGGTTTCTGGTATTGGTGCTGCGATTCCAGTGCTCTTCGTGCTACTGGCCAGTGGAGTATCGAAACGGCTGTATCCTTCTTTGAGTGTTTGGTTAACCCTAAACCCTACACCCCTAAACCCTAAACCCTAAACTCTAAAGCCTAAACCGTGGACACTTGAGCCTCAACCTTGGGCCTTGAACTTAGTACTGAACGCTTGCCCCCGAAGTCCCGACAGTAACCTACGGCTCATGATATAAATACTGCATTACTTCAATAAGGAATATACCATAGTTCCCATAGCTTAGGGCCCTTAAGGGGGTTTAGGGTTTAGGGTTTAGGGTATCGTCAACAGTAGGTTTAGGTTAGGGTTTGAGACTCCAGCCCCTGTGCGGGGACGCGAATAAGGCTACTTAGAGGTCCAGGGGACTTCGTAAGTAGGTTATAAGCAGAGTTAGAAGTGCCCTAGAGGGAGTTACCCCGATTATGAACCTACTTATAACCAACTTGCTAAGTCCCCTGGGCCTCCTAACCTTAAACCTTAAACCCTAACCCCTAAACCCTAAACCCCAAACTCCTAAACCCTAACCCCTAAACCCTAAACCCTAAACCCGAACCCATAAACCCCTAAACCCCTAAACCCCTAACCCCT